CATTGTAAAGTTGAAATTAGATAAACCATGCACAAAAAATGAGACGTGAAAGGAAAAAAAATTAGAAACTAAAAATGATATTAATTTGATCTCTAATAGATTTTTTATCTAGGACTATTTGATTTGTTAGATTACCTGTTAAACTTGGTTTTTCTTTTATTGGTGTCTTGGTATTGTGTACATGTAATATTTAGGAATCTAATCTTCTTACTATTGCTCTTTTCAATTACTAGAAGACCAATTAATCTCTATGGTTTTTAATCGTACAAATGGTTGAGAACTATTTACTTTATTAAGGGCTTGTTTGGTAACAAAGTGTTTTTTTTATTATTATTTTTGGGGGAATTACATAAAAATACATTTGGTGAATCTTTTTATTTTTTACTGCTCCATTTTGCAAACAATGACAAAATATAGAAACATCTAAAATAATATTTTTTAAAACATCCAAAATAAAAACACGTGGGTTGCGCTGGAAAGATTTTAATGAGGTCCAAAGTCTCATTAGCAGCAAACAAAAGATATTATTTGGCACATATATAACGACGGCAACATTTTTTTTTAGTAATGTCATTTGGATCTAAAAATTTGATCTAATTTACGGATATAATGATTTGACTTCATAAGAATTATTGAATCAACATCAAATTCCAATATTTGATAGCGTCTACAGTCAATTCAAGATTACAGTGAATTAGGTCAATAAATTATGTCAGCAAATTACGTGACAACGGCATTTCTTTTTTTTTTTTCTCTCTTTCTCGAACGTTTTTCTCTTTCTCTCTCTCTCTTTCTCATCTCTCACTTCTCTCTGTTGCTCTCCCTTGTCTCTGTCTCTGTCTCTGTCTCTCTTTCTCTCTCTCTCTCTCTCTCATTGCAGTGGCGGTTGGGTGCTGGGTTCTGAAGTGGGTTTGGGTGGTGGGTTTAGGTGGGTGTTGCCTGGTGGGTTTAGGTGGTGTTGGGTGGTGGGGTGAAGTGGTGGTTTTAAGTGAGGTTGGGTGATGGATTTTGGTGGTTGTTGGTAGTGAATTTTGGGTAAAATACTAAACATGTTTTTTATTTTTATTTTTATAATTTTTTAAATATAAATAACTATCAAATATATTTTATATTTTTAATTTTTATCACAGAAAAAATAAAAATTAGTTCAGGTTTTTTATAAAAAAAAATATAAAACGAAAATGTTACCAAAAGTATCCAAGATGTGAAATCATGAAAGTTTCAAATATCTTATACATTAATAAAATGGTCCGCGTGCAACATACGTGTACACCAACTAGTACTCTAAAAAAAGTAGAATTGAACTTTCATGCTCGCTAGAAGTTACATTTCTTGTAGAATTCCATGATCCAGTAGCTTTGTACACAACATATAAGTTTCAAAGCAGCAAATCCAGCTGCTTTTACCAATGCCTCGTATTCTTTCTCCGTCCTCTCTTTCCCTCCGGGATTTAGTGTCAACATAACCATGTCGGAGCCAATAATAGTTTGGGACAATAAATCAGTCTCCGGGTACTCCGGTAGTATTGATTCGACCGCTATCACCTTACCGGAATCTGGAAGTGCATTCCAACAATTCTTCAATAGCTTCAAGCAGTGATCATCACTCCAGTCATGAAGTATCCACTGTGAATATGTTATGTAGCAAGTTACAGAAGAATGAGTCACGAAATTTATGGGACTTTTTGGTAGTTGTAGGTTTAGGTACGAAATAGGGGTGTAATTGAGCATGTTAACCATAATTCAACCTAAAATATTCAATACGTGAGAAAAGATTTCAAATACTCAAGTTGGAACTAGTTACAAAGGTGTAGAACCAATTTAAATTCGAAAAACACTGGGGTTGAGATCTAGGGTTTGGGAGGGGGGGATCGAACTCCAACACTTCCATTCGTGAGCAACTTCACGAACATTGTGAAAAGGGGAAAGGACGGTCGTTCGTGCATTATTCAGAAATGATGAAAATATACTTCAGTGCCATGAAGGCGATAATGTCTTACGAATTCAAGTTCAAAAGAATTCGATCTTAGTTTCTAGCCAAGTAGTGCAACCAAAAAATCTATCCTTCACTAAACTGACTTTCAACCCGATTTTAAACTCAAAAAATTGGACTTGAATTTCAATTTGACTATATTTTTGGGTAAGGGGGGGAAATTCCTAGTTTGTCTCGGCGAGTAAAGCCACTCTTATGTCGCTCAGACTCATGAGTGCGAGTTAGACTAAAGGCAAACCCCTAGTGCATAAACCGGTCCCTCAACTTATGCACCAGTTAAATCAGAACTAGCATTTCGGTGAAGATTCGAAGTCATACCAAAGATTTAGATACGGTTCGTCTAAGTAATAAAGGTCTGTCCTATCAATCAATCACTCTTTTTGTCACCCAGAGGACTTGAATCCTTGATATCAAGAAAGTAAAGTTTTCATAAGACAAGTGATACAATTTTAAACATTGTAGCATAAGCAATATGTACTCCAATTGGAATTGGATTTGGTTTGAACTCAGATGGAGAGTATTATAACTTGAGTTAAGTTGGTTATCGCCTCAACCAGTCCAAACTACACCCCTATTTGAAGAGGGAAATCATGGGCCTTCCCCCCCTCCCCCCCCCCAAAAAAAAAAAGTCTCACTATAGGTGGTTTTTGCTAATTAATTTTGCATCATAAAGCAGATTTGCAAACAAACACAAGTTTAACTTATCAAAAAGAGTAGTGGCGAACCTTCATAAAGATAGCCTCCCCTTTTGGAACACTTTCGAACATATCTCCCCCAACATGCTCCACACCTAGAATCAAAAAAGCATCTAGTCTGTTCATAATCAAACCTCAAAACAAGAAAAATAGTGACTAAGCGAATCAAGAGAATGGGACAATCGATAACATGAGGAATACAATTGCAAAAATAAAATTCAAGGAATGATTAATATATGATTGAGGCTATTAAGCAACGCGTTTTGGCTAATTCAAACTTGTTCGTTTAAAAAATGTACAGAATACGATCCAATTTTAAGCTCCTTTAATATTCAAATCAAGCTCAAGCAAGGCCAAGTCCAACAAAGCCGGACTTGAGCATTGGATTCAAAAATCAAGCAGAGCTTGAGTAAAATCCAAACTTAACAATCAAGTTGAGTCGAGTTCAAACCTACGATTATCAACTAGAGCTGAGTTTGCACATATGAAAAAAAAAAAGAAAAAAAGAAAATCGAAAAGCTCAGCCCAATCAACAATCTCAGATAAGACTAATGAACTTATCATTGATAGAATGCATGAAGTAAATATGGTGTTTACCTGAGCAAGGAGGTGCATCTTTAATCACATGAGGTAAATCAAAGTTAATACCCCTAATATTAGGGTGCTTGGAGACTATACTGCCTAGAGTTGCACCAAACCCACCACCAACATCTACTATCTCCTGTATGCCCTCAAATCCCTTGTAGGTTTCAAGTATTTTATTCATGGACATAGTGGTGTGGTTGTACATGGCTTTGTTGAAAACCTCGTTAAATCTGCTGTCTTTCTCAGGGTATTCAAATGCATGCATCCCATGAGCTTTGTTGAATGGGATTCCTCCATCAATAATTGCATCTTTCAAGTGGTACCTACATGAAAATTGACGATAGTGAATACATAAAGGGTAAGGAGACAATATTTCATGAGCAATGTTGTAGGGACTTAATTTTAGGATCTAATTTAATGTAAGAGCAATGCTATTGAGACCTAATTTATTGACCTAATTTGCTGACTTAATTCACTATGACCTTTAGATTAACTGTGAGCTCCACAAAACATTAGAACTTAGTGTTTATCCAATGGTTTTAATGAAGTCATGTCATTAGGTCAGCAAATTATGTCAGATTTTTAGGTCTAAATAGCATTTTCTTTATTGTAATTTCGGCTGTTATACAAAGTTCATGACTGTTAATCCAACAACTGCAATTAATTAAGTCTCCAGATTAAGTTTAAATAATATTTTTCATATTTCTTGGTACAAAAGAACAACTTGCAGCAAGAATGTCACTCGAATCGTGCCATAAGGGTTTGATATTAATTCGATTTGATTATCAATCATATCGTGTTTGAATTGATATGAAAAATCTATAAATCATAAATCCAAAACTAGTACTTCATTCTCTTTTAACAATATATATTGCGATTAATCATTTTAAATTTAATTTATTTATTTTTATCACACAAAACCGACTCATTTGTTATTTATGTCTATAAGATATATGACATGAAAAAAATATAAAATTTGAAGAGAGAGAAAAGAGAAGACAAACCAACAGTCAATGACTACTTTGTCTTGAAGAAAGAGTACAGAGGGGGAGAGAGAGACTCCATGCTGATCTCGGACAAAGTATTTGCAAATAGGTGTCAACCCATACGATCTTTTTGCATCTCCGTTTTCATCTCTGTTGAGAGTGCATGTGAGGATTGAGTTGCTAGCAAGAAACCGAAGCATACGATCGAGCATCACTGGAGCTTCGGGATTTCGAGTGGGAAGTTGCGAAGCAATCTCGGAAGAGGAGAGTCGGCGGCCACCTGGAGAAGTTTTGGCCATGATCTCGAATAAATCGAGCTCGATTGCAGCTTTTAGAACCATCGGAAGAACTGCGCCGATGGGAAATCGCATCGCCGTCAAGAATTCTTCGTCTTCATCGGACAGTTTGATTTGGGGTTTGGAGGTAAGCATATTCGAATTGTGTGTGTGT